TATATATATATATATATATATATATATATATATATATATATATATATATATATATAGATAGATATTGTTGAACAAAATAATATCTTCTATAAATAATAGTTTTAAGAATGTTGATATAGTAAAAGTCTTCGATGCACGGTAAATGTATTGCAAAATAATGCACCGACTATGTAGTACAATACATACATGATAATCGTATATTTTTCACGTATAATTTCATTAACTGTTACCGTGAATCAAAATTACTTTCACACATAAAATCACAATCCTTATACATACCATGTACTATACAATATTTATGTATATAGTATTCTCTTGAAACAAAGTTATCTCTACGAAGATAAAGATGACTTCTTTAATGCAAAGTATCGTAAATGAGATGAAATGATAGAGAGAAATGGATATATAAATATAGTAAAAAACGGAGATAAATAAACGTGCATAAATTAATTAAGCGACATGCATGAAGTCTCTACACAACGTACATTGTATGTTTTCTACTTTACGGAATTTCACCACACCATTTACGATCTGATGTGTACATATAACATCACGGACAATCACTTAGTCAACATCTTAGTCACACAATTAATCAACTACGATTAGCAACATATGTTGATCACTTCTGTTAGTCTAGTAAAGTGAAATATTAAATTATGATCGTGATTTTAAGATCGGAAATCTCAAAAGTATCTAAATTAGATTCTTCTTTTTTCTGGTGAAGTGGCCTGTAAGTGTATCTCTCGATTTTTCTCGACAATGCAATAGCATGTTATGTCACGGCGTGGCGTTAGAAGTATTCGCGCGTCCTAAATTACATTGCACGATTCACCGAGATCTCTCTTTAGCGCGATAATTTTGCTTTCATATACGTTGTGCCCATATTCTATCTACTTTAATTTTTACCGGATCTTGCTGAATTATTTGTCGATTCTCAGACTGATCATTGGGATCTGTCTCGACTTGTGACTCGCCCTTCGTTTCTGACTCCTTCTGTTCCGAGATACCTTCGTTCTTCATTCGCAGCATGAAAACATCTTTACCTACAGATCTATTCTACGGAACCTACTCACCCGACGTTAACACTTTGCGGCGTATTGAGAAAACTTATTAACTTTTGCGCTTTACTTTGGTAATTATGCGGCAAGCCAAATAAATATTTAATCGCGCATTAATCGTCTAATGTGCTGTGAGCGACCGGGCATTCAGCTTTAGCGAAGAGGCCGTAAAAGTTCGGAATAAGTAATTAGCGCAAAGTGGAAAGTTTGTAATCCGACTACGTGAAAACTTTTTAATCGTCTTACCGCGATAACGATACGCTTATCTACCGCGATGTTCTTATATATCTTCTTCGTGTCGTAAACCTATTTACGAAAGAGCTGAATGCCCTTTACCGCGATGCTGTGTTATCTTCCTTGTATGATAAATGATTCATGTAACTTCATGCAAGACATAATTCCGCGACATTCACCTTTTCTCCGTATTCAGGATCGATGGCCATCATTTCCCGGAGTGTTCTCAAGACTTTCACACATAACTTTTCTTCTGTCTCCTCTAACAACTTTTCAGTATGTTTAATTAATCTGTAAAGCAAAGGTACATATATAAATTCATCGTGGTTTCATTAAGCTATCGCAAATAAAGATTTTACCTCTTGATAAAGCCACCGTTCTCGCATCTTTTTCTGGCGTCAGTCGCTGCAGGAAACAGCAGTTCGGGTCGATAGAGAATGTCCACTAACAAGGATAATTCTGACTGTACCAATGGTTTCAATTGTTCTTCCAATAGAGACACTATGTCTTGCAAGCCTTCTATGATACTTCGATCTAGACGCATCAGCTAGATAAACAGTATTAATAAGAATGTTATTTTTTCTTTAATAATATATATACAAAATAGATTTTCGTACTACGCTACAATATAAACTAATTGTAAATTTAATTAAATTTAAATACATCCCACAATATACAAAGCAACGAATATTTCATACATATTTAATATTTAATATTTTGTTAAACGATACGAAAGAGAAACATTTTCATAATCTTGCTCATATATAATTTACGCGGACTAAGTATCAAGTAGAATATTTTATTAATTATATATATATGTATACCTACTGAATAACTTATATATATATATATATATA